CCCTACCCCGACTCTTTCCTTCAAGAACTAAAAAAGGAGCCCAGCCAGAGTCGCCGCAACGCTTCTGCCCTCTCCTCTCCTTCCCTCCCTCCCTCCCTGCCCACCTGCCTGCCCGCCCGCCCCCTACACTGCACGGTCACACTTTACAGGACACAGACTTCTACGGAGCGCGCTCTTCTAGGTCTACGCGCCAGCAAATACTATAGTCGTGGAGGGAGGGGCGGGGCGGGGAGGACGAGGATGCCGCTGCCGGTCACCCCAGGCTTTGTGGGAACCGGGGCGGACGCCCTCACGGGGGACCAGGCCCGGGAGGCCAGTTACTTCCTATGGGCCCGGCGCTTCTTGAGCTGAGTCTGGGCCCCGAGCAGCAGCGGAAGCGAAGCTGTCCAGTGCACTGATCTCTGGAAAACCTAACTCATCCACAACGAAATTGGCTCGGGACCAAGCCCGTACCCTCGGTGGAAAAAAGGCTCGCGGTTCCGAGGCGCTTTAAGTTAGGTGAGAGGGCGCGGGGGTGGGGAGAAACGGTCCCTCGCCCCACAACACACACACACACACACACACACACACACACACACACACAATTTCCCAGAGGCTGGGAAAAGTGTTAGCACCGGACCGGAGTGTCGCTGTCTTTGAAAACAACGACAATATGAAAATCCGAACGCGAAGCCGAAAGGCGCCCCAGGCACCAGGCTGGCTCCAGCTGGTCAGAAGCAGAGGGGGGCGGGTGAGCAGAAGGGTTTGGTTCCCAGTCGCAAGGGGGCTTTGAAACTAAAAACTAGGGAGTTGTCACCGAACCCTGGCTTCTAGGATATGCACCCCGGAAAGGGCAGGGCAGGGTTGAGGTGGAACCTCACGGCGCTCCACACTAGGGACGTCCGTTGGGAGCACCGGGCTAAACCCGGCGCCATAGTGTTAACTTTCAGTTGTTTCCAGCGCCTTCTCCCATTTACTCTGGCTGCACGGCTCACAGTGGGCGGGCTGCGGGGCAGATTTCCGAGATAGTTGCGTAGGAGTGGAGAGGCCTGGATTTCGCCTCACGGTCAGCGATGGTGTCTTATACGAGGAGAGAGGAGCAGAAAACTGTGCTTGCCAGAGGGAATTCAGCCCGCAAGGTCAATGACGATCGTGGGTGGGTGGGGACTGGTGAAATGGTTCCACTCGCCACTAGAAGTCGCCAAGAGTAAGATTGGGTGGTGGTGGTGGTGAAAGGGCAGAGGAAGTGTGTGTGTGTGTGGTGGGGGGGTGGGGGGGAATAAATCCTGCCAGCCCTAGGCTTCCGCTCCCAGGCACCCAAGGTGGAGGTGAGACTGGGAGGGCAGGGCGGGCAGGAGTTCAGCCCGCCGTCTGCCTGTAGTTGCCGTTAATCTCCTGGGCAATGTTGACCGCCTCGGCACCCAGGGGCAGCCGGTCACTGTACTCGGAGCCCACCTCGAACTCCTCTTGGTTGGCCTTGGACTGGGACTCCACCAGCGAGCAGGCGGCCAGGCTCTCCTCCCTCTGCAAGTCCCCACCCGAGTCCCCCTCCTCCGCCTCTTCGTCAAGGCCCTCCCCGGGAGCCTCCTCTGGCTCCTCACAGCCTGCTTCGCCGCCTGGTGGGTAGCTTTTCTCGGACTCAAGGTAGGAGACACGCGGGTCAAAGTCGGCGGCGATGCGCTTCTCCATGGGGTCGGGTACCTGCGGCCGCAGGATCAGACGATAGGGCTTCCCCGGGTGTTTGGCCAGCAGATGGCAGCAGGCGGCTCCCAGCAAGGGCACAGTGGCCAGCACCAGAAGGAACACGCTTACCACCACGATAACCAGCAGGGAGGGCAACTCCTTCTTGGTAGCGAACACCACTTGCACGTGGCAGGCCTCGCCTGCCTGCGCCAGGCACACGGAGTAGTTGGTGCCAGGCCGCAGGCCGCGGAACCAGTAGGCGTTGACGCCCTCCTCCACCTGAGACCACTGAACTGCTGCACCGCCCCCCGCCGGGCACAGATAGAGCCGGCGCAGGGGTCGCTGCCCAGGC